GCATATTTTTGCATATTTTCTCATGTTTCGAGATTTTTCGAGATATTTCGAGATTTTTTGAGATTTTTTGAGTTGTTAAAATGATTTGTCCTTTTATCCCCTCGAGATTTTATGAGATGTTTCGAGATTTTTTGAGATTTATCGAGATTTTTTGAGATTTTTCGAGATTTTTCGAGCTTTTTTGAGTTGATTGTTGCTAAGATTTTCATTTAAAACATTTTTTGCATTTTTTTGCATTTTAAATCTCTTATCGAGATTTTAAATCTCTTTGGAAAGTCTTCCATTCCAAAACCTCCCCGGCGCAGGGTATTGAATTTTTTTGGTGAATAACCTAAGCTCAGTGGATGCATTCGAGCGTCCCCCCGGACGAGCGCCACCACATGGCACGTAGGCACGTGGCAGAAGACATCATGTTGTGCCAGGTTCTCCTGTCACTAAGACCAACGTTCCATACCGAGCCCCATCTCGTAGAACGTGACTTAGCCTGCGCACACAGACGTGCAGCGGGGTGTGTTCCGACGCGACAATGTCTTCGACTTGTCCTGCGTGTGTCGGCCAACGCCACACTACAACATCGGCTACGCGCAGGGATCCGCCCAGGCAGCGCGCCTCAGAGCCTCGGCGATGAGTCGAATCTCTAAAGCCTGCAGCTGAAAAGTCTACGTTTGCTTGTTTTTTATCCGATACCGGTCCTACATTGACCGACGTTGGCCGACATCACCACCTGATGCAGTTACGCTAGCTCTGTAACGCGGGCCCTAGCTAGTTATGTATGGCCGACGTTGGCCGACATAGTGTATTCCGAGGTGTCCTATCGACGGTCCTACATCGACCGACATCGACCGACATTGGCGCGCCTCAAAAACATGAACTTGTATGTAATGTTGTAGACTTTAAACTAAAGATAAAAACTCTATATATCTGTGTATAAGGCCACGGTTCGGAAAACCCAACGCCTTCCCGCGCTCTTTTTCCTCTGGCGCGCAAGCGCAGCTCCTGTAGTCTATATACGCGTCCTACATAGATGCCACCGTATGTGGAAGTCACTCAGACTTTCCGCCGCTGTTCATCCCACCTGGACGTAGATTGCGCGGCCACCTCGGTGCTTCCGACGGTCAGAAGGAATCAAACCGGTAGTCCTGTTGATTCCTCCGTGTCTTCGTCAGTCCCGTGACGAAGCATCCGGGGCTGCCATCGCTCTCGCGGAAAACCCAGTGGAAGCAATTCCGCGCTTTCTGCCAAAATCTGCAGGGTTTTTGATTAAACATAGGTTTTGTAAGTATGAATAACTAGAAACAACTTTGTATAACTGAGTTGTAAGTAACTTATATCTTCCCTTTAAATAAACTCAACCTATTTATAAGTTACTTAAAATTCACTTTTTCTAGAGTAACTTAGATATAAAAAACCTATAAGTATAATAAGTATAACTATAGTTATTGCTACTTATTGAAATACAAGTTAATATACTGAAGTACAAGTGAACTTGTACTCCGGCAACTGAACTTATAACTTCTATAACCAAGACGGCTTAAGCAGTACATCACGATTGATTGCGTTTGCCAAACATTCAGTTTTCAGCGTTGAATGTGATTTGATTGGTTTCTTGAAACAATGTTCTTCCGCTATCAGCCGCTTTGGATCAAGTCACTTGACTCTTGACTCACGACACTTCGCCAGACACCTGTTGCATCGCACAAATGGCCCTGGTGAAGGATAATCGTGCTGCTCAGATTCCGGTGGGCATCGCCGTGCTGTCGAAGGATCAGTGGGATGCTTGGTTGGCAACACCATCTGGCAGTGATCATTTGACAGAAACTTGATGTTGATTTGGCAGCACGATTTACTTTGGACTTGATTTGAGGGCTGGTTCTTTGAGGTGTCTCGGTGACAGTGACTTATCAGTAGTGTCATTTGATGCCTTTGACATGTGTCATGTGTCATTTGAGGATAGTGACACGTGGCCGTTGACATTAAAGTTGCGGCTCCACAAGTCACCTTTGACAGCTGCCCTGTGGAAAGTGCGTGAGGACGCCAATGCCTTGAAGGTCAGCTTGTCATCTGCCACGAAGCACAAGGCCAAGTGTTTGCGGAAGACTGACCTTTTGACAGGTGACTTTTGGCTGTGCGATGTCACGTTGCCAGATGACACGTTCCGCGAGTGGTTGAAGAAGGGAACGCTGGTACGTGACCAGGAAGAGTCCTTCACGTGTTACATGGACTTTTTCAAGATGATGAAGGAGCCATTTTGTCAAATGACACCTGCCATGTGGGAGTTGGAGGAGCGGCCATGGATCCACGCATGTGGGACGAGTCCACCAGCGCCACAGTGGACGTTCTACGCGCCGCTTGACAAAAAGACGTGTGACATGATGTTGCCAGAGTGCTGGGCCTGGATGGAAGCAGCCAACCATCGTGACATGTGGGCACTGCTCAAGAGGAATCTTGATTTCTGCTTTAACAGTGATTTTTGTGTTTGTCATTGTTGTTTTAATTGTAGCTGGCGCGTTTTAATGATTGATTGAAGCTAAGAGGCATGCTGGCCGACGCGGTGGCAATTGGCCTGATGAAGCAGTCCCAATGTTCGAGAAGAAGAAGGAAGCTGTGATCCTCATGGCATGCATGTCATATGACAGCAACCGCATGGTCACCGTGTCAGTGAACGCAGCCACAGCGTCCAAGTTCATCAGACCCATGCCAGGGATGATGGATGTGTGGTACGCGCCAGAGGACGCCTTGCGCGAAGCAGCTGGCAGCTTGCAATGGTCCGTGTCATTTGTTGACTTGAGCACCAAAGCATCACCTCACTGCCGTGACAATTGCAAGATGGCATTCTTCCACGAGAAGAAGAGAAAGAGTGATGCATCAGCTGTCATTGACAGGACAGACGGACTGCTGTGGCTTCTTTTGATTCGGGTAGTTGATCGCCTTGCTTAAAATAGTCGATTTTATATTCATTTGATATTCTAGATTGATTTTCGCTGTCAAACCAAGTTCATGTTCAAGAACAATCTGATCCAAATCAAACATTTGATGCAAATCACGCGCAGGATCAACGAAGACATTGAGCGGACAGATAACATTTGCAAGCGCCTGAAGACCATCAAGGAGGAACTGGCGGCTGGCACGTTGAGCAATCGAACGGCGTTTGAACAGCACAGAGAGCTGGGTTTGATGCTCCAGTGACTTGTGATCTGTGACCGTTTGGCGAGTGATGGCTCCTGAGTCTGCCACCACATGTCGCCTGATTTTGAATGATGCTGCGATGTAGGTTTTTGTTGATTGACGCCTAGGCAGCTACAGCTAATATCGCTGGCCATCTCCCTGAGTGAAAGTTACAGCTGGAGTTTCAGATTCAGATGTGAGTCATGTAAGTGTGAGAATGCGAAGTCGCTTTAACTTGACGATTGGGTTTTGTCACAAACCAGTGCATCTTTGAGATCTCTGATGGTTTGCAGGATTCAGATGACACAGCTGGTCAGAGGCAGCGTTATGAACATATCGAATGAGTTGGATTACACTCATCGCGTTTCATAATTGACACTTGAGATGATGCATTTCACAAACAGGTTGCTCTTCGAATTCCAGTCACTGGTGCTAATCCTTAATTTGCCTTGATTGAGCCAAGGTGGCAGTTATTAACAGTGATAAAGTGTTCAGACACATGACTCTTGGAATCTGGATGCGCTGCTTGATTCAATTCATGACGACATCCTGCACGCATGGCCCTGACAGGATAGTGCCGCTGCCAAGCTTTGTAGGACGTCTGAGTGAGGCAACTTCCACGTGTTGTCGTCTTTACTGTGTTTGGATATTCAGCATTTTTTCTTTTTGCGTTCACGGAAATACGGTCTCACAAAGAGACGCTGAGCCTTTGAACTGCGCGCCAGGCTGACCTGCAAGTGAATGCTGCGTATGACAAAGCTGGTTGCCACGTGACACGTGACACTCTTTGAACATAATTGTTCGTAGACCAGGTGAATCAGGCAGCTTCATTTGAATTTGTGTCACAGTTTGACATTTGACAAATCACAGTGGCAATTCAGATCCACTGCAGCGCAGCCGCATCAGATAGGTAGTCGCTTGCGAACTCAGACCAGCATGGTGGGCTGTTGAATTTGTGACCCTTACACATGTTTCTTTCAAATTTCATTCAAATTCATTCAAATTTAATTCAAATTTTAGTCTTGCAAATTTGAACTAAATTTGAATGAAATTTGAAAGAAAACCATGCATTTTTGCAGTTTTGTTGATTAAAGTGCTACAAACACCAGTCCCAGTCTGGCCTGAACTTGGCAAATTGTGGCTGGCACCGCGTAGAATGGGGTCGCCAGACTTTGAGCCCGGCGCTGAACAACCTTGAACAGAGTGGTTGTTCAGCGCCGGATGGGGACAGGAGACATATGACAGCTTGACAGGAGAAAAAAGGCTGAAACAAACCCACGTTGAAACAAACGGTGATTGTCAATCATTTGATGTTTTCCGGTGGCAAGGCCCTTCCACTTCTGCCGGATGACAATTGCCACATGAACATTAATCACATGCTTTGATGAATTAAATGACAGCCAAACGTTTTGGCAACGTCAATTGTCATGACCTGGATGCTTAATGTCCCTGAATTGGTTACCCTTACACATGGTTCTTTCAAATTTCATTCAAATTCATTCAAATTTAGTTCAAATTTTGGTCTTGCAAATTTGAGCCAAGTTTGAATGAATTTGAATGAAATTTGAAAGAAACCTATGCATTTTTGCAGAGTTTGTTATTCTATCAACACAAGGCTTTGCAAACACCACCATCCCTGCATGACAAAAAAAGATTTTTCAAACCAGTCGAAACGTCCACCCAGTATATATATATATTTATTATATATATTGTATTATATTGTTATATATGTAGCGTGCGTTTTGTGTATTTGTGCTATTTTTTTGTGGCTGCACAGGCATCAAACAGCAAATGTTGATGTTCAACACGTCCTGCCCAAAGCTTTTCGCACCAAGGCGGCCCACTCATTCCTCGCAGCTCACCAACATGTCGAAGCGCATTGTGGAGGTCAGGTTAATAATTTGCTTGAGGGAATGTGGAACTCAAGCTAGAGCCATTTGGAGGTCGTGCAGTGGCAACAGGCGACCAAAGAAGTGTAATGGCTATTCGCTCATGTTCAGTGCGTTGCACAATATGCTCGGGCTTTAGGCGGCGCATCAGAAGACCAGGGCTACAGCAGGGGGCTTTTTGCCAGAGGCACCGCATCATGGCAGCAAAGGTGCTCCATGCACTAGGAGCAATGTTCGCTACTAGTAACAAAGGGCATCGCTACTAGGAACAAGGACGCTACTAGGGGCTCCTGGCCTTACTGCTAGTGACAAGAAGCTAGTAGAAACAAGAAATCATTAGAATTAGAATGAGCTGATGATTCTGATGGAATCAAGGATTGGTCGTGGTGGCAAGATGGATGACACCTCGTGCGTTGTGGCGGAGATCATTGAGTGGACGGTCTCTCGAACGCACTGAGAACATACAGCTTATTTAAGGATGCAGTGCACCATGCAGCACCAGCACACAGCTGGGCACGAATGCACTGTTTTTCGGACTTCTTGTGTTTTGCAACCCAGGAAGCACACCAGAAGCTCTATGCACGGGAGGAGTTCATTCCCAAATGGTCTAACTTCTGGCACTGCCAAGTGGGCTGCGAAGGTGATGAAAATGAGCCACTTGGGCTGACTTTAGCATGAGGGCTTCGTTGTTTTGATCTTGCATAATGTTTGTACTATATATGTGCACATATATTTTATTGTAATGTATGTGTGTGTAACAGTATATGTGCATACATATATATATATAACTATAGTTTTGTGACGGTATGAAGATTTATGATTGTGTTTGTATCTCCAAATGTTTTTCCCGCAACAAGTATACTGGCAGGTATGTCTTAGCAACTTGTACCAAAGCCTGCTTAGAGTGTAAACCGGTTCATTGGACATATTTGGGTGTACAGTACGTGTACCTTTGTCGGCGGCGATCAGGTGCGTGCGGGCTGTTGCTTTTACAGCTTAGGTTGCAGGAGTATGATGGGGAAATGACACCACCTGGATTTCATCGCAAGAGAAGCAAGCGCCCCTTGGTTTCACATCCTTTGAGGTTGCACAACTAGTTGGAATCGGCCACCCTGCAGTCCAAAGGTGTGTGCCTTTGATTGAAAACGATGTTGCACTAAACACTAGTCTCTCCTTGAAACATCTACTCCAGGATGCTTTCTCTACACCATAAACGGCTTTCAATGTGTTTTTTCTGTTCATACATTAGACGTTGTTTATTTTTTCCTATTTTCTATTCCTTTCCTTTTCTTTGTTTTGCCTTTCCTTGGGTTTCTGGCCTTTCTGTTCGTTGCATTTCTTCTGTATTTTCTATCCGCAGTAATCCACAGGGCCCCTGTTCATAAGATGAAAGAAAGGGGTGTCAAAAACACTGAGTTTGTTCAACACAATTTTCACAGATTCACAGACTACAATAATAGGAGATCCTATTGATCTACCCCAGGATGATTACAGCAACATGTGACTTGAGCGCAGTCTCACTCGAGGCGCAGAGGACGAAATGTTCTGCTCAATCAGCTGAGTTCAAGGCGCAGAGCACCAGCAGTGTCCGCAGATGCTGGAGGTGAAGAGGATATCACGACGAAACGGTTGACATCAGTAGATTCAGCGGTTTGCATGGCATCGCATGGTGCAAACGCTGTTGAGACGCCACAATGGCTATGATTTATGAGTGGTTAATTTTGTTCCTCAGCTGTGGGACATGCCCAGAGGTTCAGAGGTGCAAGCCATGGGATCATGGCATGTGATGTAGAGATCAGAATCCATGGCCGATGCTGGCCGATGAGTTGATAGGCTGGTAGGACATGTTGCGATGTCATTGTCATGCCATGCCCGGCCCTGTCCCTTATTTTGTTTCTTGGATCTTTTGGTGTCAGGTGGAAGCCAACTCGTTCGCTGAGCAGAGTTGCGGCTCCCGTTGAGAATTGGTGACAGTCGCAAAATTCGGCTGCGCCGTTGCCCATGGTCAGAGCCAAGTGTTGCCTCCATGGATCTCCATGTTGTAGGGCCGTTTCTGTCAACCTGGACCGTCTTCCAAGACGGTTACATCTAAGTCACTCATGTTTCTTTTTTCAATTTGCCACTCTTGCCACTCTTTTCTTAGTGTTGTGATGGTGGTGTCACAAAGGCATTTCGATATTGAGTCATATTGAGCAGAATGTCGGTATATATCCAGGCTATCCAGGTGACCACCTCTTACAGAGTAGCACAAATGTAGCACACACGCAGACGGGAAAATTGTTGAACAGGGACGCTGACTTGCTTCGCCAAAAGAAAGCGCAAGCAGGTTGCAAGTTTCTTTGTCAGTTCCTGGTGGACACCTCGTTCCCAATTTCCAACAAGGGCTTTCTTCCCGATGAAGAGGAGAATGCAGTGTTGCAAGTTTTGTTCAACTGGTGTCCCAGCTGAGCTACAGCTCCGAATTCGGCATGCTCGCGCAGCCCAATGAGTTTAGTGAGCCCAATGCCTTCGGACAAACTAAAGGCGGGCCTTTGGCATCTAGAAAAAGAAGGGATCAAGCGAGCTCATTGAAATATTTTAAATCTCAGACGGAGCTTCCACCGTGGCGAGCTGCATATGCAGCAGTTTGAGGTGGTTCACTTAAATCTTACATCCTGAGTATTTCGTCATGTTTGAGGTGCTGGCGGCTTTGGACTGATGCCAGGTGCAGAGCCCCAGATTGGTCGCTAGAGTCGCAAGATATCAGAGGAAGAGTTTGAGCAACGAACGCCTTTTGTTCACCGAACGCCTAGTGATCGCAAAACTGTTGATCAGTTCGGCAGCTGTAGCATGCCTTGTTGAACTTGTTGCCTGAGGCATGCCGAACTTCATGGAGTTGCCAGCATTGCTCCCAGTGATCGATGTGGTTACATCATGGTCATGGAGTCATGTACTGGGAGCAAAGTAATGAAGGAGCAGCATGTCATTCTGCAATCTGTTGTAGGGCGGATCATGCGGTAAGACTTGCGTAGCGTGTACTGTGTGTAATCTATGTGTGTATATGGAGAATTGTAGATAGATATGTATAGAGTTGGCCCCTCAGCTCACCTTAACCAGGCTTGATGGCTTTTTGATGGTCTACCGGTCTACCAATCAATCTAGAGAAGGACTTTCCTGATGCCCGATACATTTCCATGCAACTACTAGGCGCTCGTTACGATCCAACCGGCTTGGAAGCTGCCACTCAGAGATGCTTTGTACAAATAGACCCTTTCCACCTTTTCTCCACCTTTCCTATCCCATCCCCTGTGCTAACATCGTTCGGTTGAATGCCGGCCCCACCGCACCAGAACAAGGGAAAGGAAACATCAGGTACAGTGCCAAGCGTTCAATTGTTCATACTTGGTTTGCCTAGTACATCCTAGTACCTTTTAAGCGATGACAGTAGTCATGACACAGCAATACAGATCCTCCCGTTCTTGGAGGCAGCTTAGCTGATGATTTTGTTGCGAGATAAACTTGTCGTAGATTTTTCGCGCCAAGGGAGCAAACCTGGCGGGGATGTCAATGCCACAGGGCTTGCAGAACCTTCCCAACTTGCTAGAATCTCAGGAAATATTGATGGCTTCAGTTCTTTCAATGCGAGAATTGCTTGTTTTAGACTTGCTTACTGTATGGAAAACATTGGGCAATACTGTAGATTGTCTTACGCCCTTGATGTAATATTTAAACATTACAGACGAGATCACTCCTTGGGTTGTGCAGTGTTTGGCGTTCACAGGCAGGGTCTTCAAGGCCTTCAGGGTCTCCAAGGCGACCGACGTTTCAACGAAGAGCGTTATTTGGAAAGATTTGCCTTCACAAAAGCTTACCAATGTTTTGTGTCATGTGTTCAAAGGAGTTGGACCTCTATATATAAGTATATATATATATATGTTTTTTAATCTAATTTGTGCTGGTGTTGGGTATGTTTTCGTTTTCAACTCCAGAGCTGCCCTGGGTAGTATTTACTTGCGCTCAAGCACATACCGGTGGAGAAGCTTTTAGATAAGTGCATCACATGTTCGTGCCGCTACTGGTAATATGCGGTCACACTAACATCTCACGCGCCATCATCCTTGTTCCTGCTTCAAGGCCTTCCAAACCTTCAATCATTGAGTCAGTGCCTGAAGGGCAGAGCCAGACAGTCTTTGGTTGTCAAGGCGGAAGAATCTCAGAAGCCTCCAGATCCAGAAACCCCGACGCAATCGAGGCTTGGCCAATCCTGCATGGGCTGCAGCCTTTGTACAACAGCCGCAGGCACGTGAGATACCAGCTTGCACATGGGACACAGGATGCGCAAAGAATAGCAGGATAGTGCACCTACTGGTAAGACCCAAAAGATTAACTAGCTCATGCCGACCTGGGTATCGATGAGGAACGAGATGATCCATGACCCCTTACGATGATGGTGGTTGGGGGGATGCCCCTTCGGCGGTATCAAACCGCAGAGCCGCGGGATGATACTCCTGACGGTGTTTCGATACTTCTTAATTGTATAGAAGTGCAAAGCTGAGAAGCAAAACTGCCTAAATTTGCCTAGACTATCCGTCCTAGATTGTGTCTCACAGTGTCGTACGTGTGCTGGCTATTTGGCAGCTTGTTGTGAGGTGCCTGCACGTAACATGGGGGGCGCCATGCCCGGTGGCGGTACAACACCTGCCGGCATGTTGGGAGCCCATATTTGGTCAGCATGTCTCATATTGTTACGTACAGACACATGTGGAGTCATGCCTCTAAATCTGGCCACAAACATGCGAAGACAGTGCGAGAACCGAGAACTCAGTTGCAGACGTATGCAGAATCCAGTTTGCCGTAGACTCTAGACTTGGTGTAGCAATAGGTTGTGTATCAATTCATGGTTCCGAAAGGGTCTTTGCGAGTGTTTCGACTTTTCGGTAGGTCATGTCACATACAGCATCCTCCAGTCACCAGGAAAATGGCCCTCCGGAGGGGGCCAGGATCTCCATGTTGTGAATTCGATTGGACCGAACAAGGCCAGGCTACATGGATGACTTGCGCGGTTTGCAGGGAGCACCCGCTCAGACCCCAGCGGGTGGCAGTGTGGATAGCAGACACTTGCAACTCGTTCCTCCTGCTTTCGTGCCGCTTGCCCAGGGGCAAGCGTCATACAAAGGAGGGTTGGTGGGTGCCCCAGCAGTTTTGCGCATTACGTTGACAATATTTTGGAACAGACCTAGCCTAGCCAGTCTAGCAAGAACACATAGGGAATATGTTTCCACTTGAGTCATTGATTCTATTTAATATTTGCCCTGCCCTATTTGTGCCTGTGACGGGAGACTGGAGTGACTTGAGGAGATTGAGTACCAAGGGACCAGAAGCACTTTCCAAGGCCGGATCAGGCCAAGGCTTCATGGGCTGAGCTCACTAACCCAGCAAGTGAGAGTTGCGATACGATTGATTTATGGGTTCAGTGCCACAGAGCCGTCAGCTGGCACGTCAGTAAATATCATCACCCTATCATCACATTTACACATATATGTATATAGATATGGATATTACTAATTCGTATAATATATATATACACATGCATATATTACAACTGTGATGATATTGCTAAATCATATATAATCTATCACCTCAATTTATAGCTATAGCCCTAGCACAGCAGGATGGCAAGTGCAGCTGATCGAAAGAATCGGGACCCATGGTGTGACATCAAGGTGGGCTGGATGCCCACGTGCAATTCGGAGATGTAGTTATGAATGCTGAATATGCTGAGTCCTGTTTCTGCAGAGCATATTTCAGATTTTGCTACACTACCCAAAGCATGCACAAATTGCAGAAGGACTCGCAGAACAGGTGGTACCACTCTCGCAATGCCGTCATTGCTATTTTTATATGGGTGGCCGGTAGACCACACCCATTGCAGATATATAGCCTGGAGACGGCAAGACGTATTGAACCTACTTGAAGTCATTCTTATTTACTCAACTGGTGCTGTGCTCACAATGATTCTCAATAGGCAGCATAAACTTGAGGCCCTGATGTATGTGAGGATTGGCTTCGGTCCACGTATGCGTTCATACCCAGGCTGTCCTGCAGCAATGTTGTGATATGATCCGGAACTGCAGCCCGCACTTTGAAAAACAGCTGACTTTGGGGAATCTAGCCATGAAATAACTCATCTCACCCGTATCTCACCCGTGCTGTTTGTTTTGCAGATGACTTGCATCACTTCATCAAGCTTGGGTCATGAACTGTCCTGCATTAATATAAAGGGGTTTCGTTTTGATTTGTGATTAGCTGCTGGGACAGAGGCTCCGGGAACGCTTGTCTTCTCAGGACTTTCGATATTGTCCATCATTCGGCTTACTAGTGACCTTTGCCACCACTGCATGGGTCGATACACTGCCAGCCTGGGCTGGCTCGTGAGCCAGCTTGCCAGGATGTAGCGATCGCATGTTTGCGGCACCTGTTTTGGATGACGGTCATGATGACGGCATTTATTGAAACACACCAGCGAGACTAGTATGTACCGGCCCCGAAACCAATCGAGAGCATGGATTGCACCAGTTCCATTCTCAGTGCCCGCTTTCAGGAGGGATGACAAGCAAACACATTTTTACCATGTGTGCATCTTGTCCGAAGTATAGCGGCAAAGGCAGGTGGACAAACATTTTTCCCGTTCATGTTCCAATTCCAATTCTTTTCTTTGTCCTATGTTCCAATGCTCACTTCAATCACCAAAGCTCGAGACTTTGAGATGCGCACACCCCTGCTTGGCGCCGTGGGCCGATGGCGCCCCACTCTACAGCGAGTCGCGCACAAGGCCAGGGAGGCCATTCCGAAGAGTTGCAGTGGCATTCAACACCGGGTTCCATGCTTTGTAGCTTCCCTTCCATGTTTTTGTAGCAACAACAAGAACAGCCCCTTGACGTGGGCCTGTTCCTGCTTGATGAAACGAGCAGAGCCTCTCAAAGAGTTGGGGGATGCTGATTTTGTGTTGTGTTTCTGCCCAGGACTCTTGGAAGACAGCCTGGGTCGATTTTTGCTGCCTTGATCCCAAAGCTCCAAACTCAGAAAGCTGGTCGGTCAGATCGGCATGCGTTCATTCCACATCAGGACAGCAGGTTCAAATGCAACCGAGTGTCAAATATATAGCTTCATA